ACTACGAGCTTATTGTCCCAGTTGCATTCTTGTATGACTTTCTCGAGAACTCTCTCGGTAATCGAACACCGGTACCTCGACATCGGCTCATATCGGCCCATTACCGGAGAAGGCATTTCAATTGTAAAATCACCTACAATTGAACACCCCATCGGAACAAATTTCTTAGGGTGAGGCTCCTCCACATCTTCTCCACCGGCGGGTCAAGATGAAGAAGCGACCTCTTTTTGCGGAACGAGTTTAGACATTTTTGCCATCTATAATTTTGTGGATGAAGATCGGAATTATTTGGTGTTTAGAGAAGGAATTTGCAATGAAAATCACAAATTTCCAGACGAAAAACTCAGAAGATGCGAAAAGGAACTTAGGTGAATTGAAGATCTGAAAGTGAGAAATGGTGAAGAGAGGGGCTATTTATAGATTGGGCAATGGCGATTCAATCTCAGTAGTGGCCGACCGTTGTCTGACATGCATTTAATGCTTTGGTAACTGAACCGACGGGACATCTATCACGTACGTCATGGTCGGGCTCAATGCAAACGTCACTGTATATCCAGTCAAGCCGTTGAAAAATCATGTCGTTTCTCACCAAATGCTTCCCGAGAAATGAGGGGACTATCTGTATACGGTCAAACCGGTTTCGTCCTTCGTACAATTAGTCAACATTGGAACATAGTGGACCGAGGAGCATTATCGTAATATCATGATGAGATCTTAAGCCAGGTCACCGAGCTCGTGTTTTAGGAACCGATCGAATTCCGAGCTCGAAACCATTGTCGAGCTCGAGCCAATATCGAGCTATGATGTGAAGCAGAGTTATCGAGCTTAAGAGCCAGAGACCAACCAATACCGAGCCCAAGTTATTACCGGGCCCCGAGTCAATATCGAGCTCAAGTCAATATCGAGTCCGATCAAGATCGAGCCAAGGTACAAGAGCCGTTACAGCTACACTAAGGGAGAAAATTTCGGCGGGAATCAGGGAAAAGCTAATCTATCATGGGTTTCCCACTATGTATTTTTAATTATATCCAAAGTAGGATCTCTCCACTATAAGAAGGATGGTTATAATTTATGTAAGGGGGGATCATCAAGGCATTGATACAATATAACTCAGATATTATTGAGACACTCTCATTTTGGGGAGATTATCCTTTTGAGCTTTACACATTGATTCATCTAGCTTATCCATAAATCATTCTCCATTCAACTTGGTTTGTATTTCATTCTTTATAGTCAATATTCGATATTTCTATTTACTTTTACGATTTGTGTCAAGTTATACCACATACCCTTAGAACTACATACAAATTCAACTCTATCCATTTTTCGGGTAAACAATGTGCATCAATTGTCACGACCCAAAATCCTCTATAGCCCGTGATGGCGCCTAACGTCGCCGCCAGGCAAACCAACGGTGAATTTTCAACTTAATTACTCATTTTAATATTTTGAAATCATAAATCTCATTAAATAAATAAGGTAAAAATCTAGTACTCAGTCAAACCCGTGATCCTCTTTACCAATTTCCGTATAAAGTATGAATTACAAGATAAAATAATAATAATTACGTGACTACAATAGTGAACCTCCACTACGAACCCCCAAAATACGGTGTCACAATGCATGAGCATCTACTAAGAAATATAATAAAATATAACATTTGTCTCGAATACAAGTTAGACATGAGAATGTAAATAACTCTGATGGAGACTCTGTATGCTGCGGATCATATCATGAAATGCAGATCGCCGTAAAGTCTCCGCAATAGCCGCGCCTCTGCGGCCAGAATAAGACCACCAGAAATATATNATGCATACCCAATAAATATCTAGCCTAACCTCGGAGAAGTTGTGACGTGGGGCCGACAACGACATTTACTAGTGGTCCAATATATCTAGCGCAATAGAAAGTAAACAAGTATGAGGCATGGTAAAAGTAAATAAATAGTGTAAACATATAGGTACGTAGTACGATCCTCCTCTGAACAGTAAATACAAGCTCTCAGTTATCGGCCACCTCCTCAACCGGAGTATATATGTAAAATGGTGCCCACCAGATAGATCGTCACAACTCAAATCAGAAAAACTCACGGATACGTTGGCTTCTTATCAAATATTACGCACGACGGTACCGAGGCAAACGACCCGATCCCATAAGAGCGTTTCATAAATCTGCGAGGCAAACAACTCGATCCCATGAGAATATGATACTGCCGAGGTGAACGACCCAATCACATTCGAATATGAAGTTTTAACGAGTCCTTGACCCCACTCACGAAAGATACGTGTGAGTTATGAAATGTAAAGAAGCTTTTCAATGCAAACGCAGAACGCGAGAGAATTTTGTAAGGGAAAACACAATTATTTCGCGGCTAATCAAGTAGCTCGTCAAATCTCTACAATAGCGAGTCTATCACTCTACGCAAGTCTAGTCTCAGGTCGCAACGCAAAATAAAGGAATTATACAGGCAAGGATAACTCAAATAATACAACTAAAGCATGACATGAACCTAAGCCTACCCGGACATAATTAGGAACTGTAGCATACGCACGGACACTCGTCACCTCATACGTGCACAGCTCCCACAACATGTAGCATACAACAAGAATAGCACATGCATGGTAAATTCCCCCTCACAGGGTTAGACAAGAGACTTACCTCGCATTGAAGTTCCATAACTGGCTCCAACGCCTCTCTAGTTCCTCAAACCAATGTTCATCGGTCCAAAACTAGTCAAATAATTTGCAAATCAATCAAAAATATACTCAAATGCTTATAATTAATCACTTTATAACAATTCCAAACTCCGCTCGAAAAGTCAATAAAGTCAATCCTCAGGCCCACACGTCCGGATTCCGAAAATGTTCAAAGATAAACTTTATCCATAACATTACGAACTCATATATATGATTTATTCCTAATTCCATTTTCAAAATCGTGGTCAAAATCCAAAATTATAATTTCTAGGTTTTTCTTTAAAATCCCATAATTTTCCATGTTAACTCCTTATGAAATCCATGTAATTATCTTACAATGTGTGAGAATTACTTACCTTGCAATAGATGATGAAAATCTCCCCTTGAAGTTCTCAAAAAATCGCCCAAACCAAGAGAGAAATGAGTGAAATGAGCAAAATTCCGACTTAAAACAATCTGCCCAGGCCTCGCCCTCTTCGGGACCGCGGAAATACCTTTGCGATCGCGAATGCCAAAATTCACTACCCTCAAAAATGGCCTACGCGAACGCAGACAACCAGTCACGAACGCGATGTTCTGCAACCCAAACCTGTGCGATCGCAGACAGCCTCACGTGATCGCGATGAACAATGCTTGGAAATTCTCAGGCCTTCCCTTCCCTCTTCGTGAATGCGTCTCCTCTCACACGTTCGCGTAGCACAACCCTTCCAAGCTTCGCGATCGCAACCTTAATTTTGCGAACGGGTAGAGAAAATGCTCACCCTCCAAACTTGACCTTTCGCGATAGCGGAAGAGGAAACCAGATGCCTAGAAACCAGCAACAGCAATCATCCAAACTTGGTCCGAAACCATCCCGAAACACACTAGAGACCCCCAGAACCCTGTCCAATCACACCAACCAGTCCTAAAACATAACACGAACCCGCTCGAGGCATCAAATCACATCAAACAATATCAAAACTACGAATCGACGATCGAAGCCTTCTTTCAACTTTCAAACATTCAAACTTCGATGAACGCATCCGAATTATACTTAAACATCCCGGAATGACGCCAAACTTTACGCACAACTCACAAATTAAGATACGAACCTATTCCAAGGCTCGAAACTCCAAACAGACATCGATAACATAAAAATTCACTTTTTTATTTTTATTTTTTTAAACCTCTCCCAAATCAGGAGGATCTATAGTGTATCCACACTTTCCCTCCAGCGTGACTCGAACCCAGGACCTAACGGTCGTGGGTGGAGGTGCTTTTATCAACTGAGCAAGCCTCACTTGTCAAATTCACTTCAAATCAAACTTAAAAAATCCTTACACTTTCAAAATGCCAACCTTCCATGATTAGCGCCGAAATACTCCCGGGCGATCCGATACCCAACCCGAACATACACGCCCAAGTCCATAATCATCATACGAACTTATTGGAACCTTCAAATCCCGATTCCGAGATCGTTTACTCAAGAGTCAAACCTTAGTCAACTCTTCCAACTTAAAGCTTCTAAATGAGAATTTTCTATCCGAATCAACTCCGAACCTCCTAAAATTTAATTCTGACTATGCGTACAAGTCATAATACATGAAGTGAAGCTACCCAAGGCCTCAAACCGCCGAATAACGCGCTAGAGCTCAAAACGACCGGTCGGGTCGTTACATCAATATCCAACAAACTATATTAATCAAACATCCTTCAAATACAATCCAAATCTCCAAACATAGCAAATCCCCAACCTCCAAATATTAAAGAAATAAACTAAAATGTAGACCACTAACACAAATAAACCAAAATATACAATAAAAAGCAATCATTAACGGAAAAAAGCGAAAATGTTCGAAACATTAATTTATTTAATCTTTGTCATACAATTTCCTCTAAACATAATAAGCTATATGGGTTAGTGGTCGAATCAAAACTGCTGAAAACCTTATGTTACATTATGCTCACTTCATTTCAAATTAAAAGTTCAATCATTAAATCCATGAAAAATATTTTCGACTTTCTTAACAGAGATATATTTCAAAGCATATTGCCTGTAAATGTAATTAATAGTAATTTTCTTTATCTTTCTCATATATGATACATTATCACTACTTTAATACATTGGTTTCACTTATCACGTAGCTTAACCGATAGAATATTAATAATAAGCAAGCAGTTATTAAACACATCAAGAAACAGATCTAAGGTTACGTCAAAATTGTTATCTTTGCACGTAAGACTTTGCATGCAAAGTTATATATCCCCTGCAATTCCTTAATCTATATTTGCAAGCTTTTGGGAAATTAAGGCTGTTAGCAAGAACTAAGAGAGACAAAAAGAGAAGGTCAAGAAAAGGAAATAAATTAAAAGCAATACTTAATTAGCCGCAATGGCAGAATCTTTCCCAATGAAGGGTGGTGAAGGTGCCTACAGCTACACCAAAAAACCCTATTGCAGGTAAGTTTAACCATTTTATGCCATTCGGATACTTTGTTAAACCACTGTTTTTTTTCCTTTTTAATACAGCTTTTTATCACCATTAAGAATTTTTCAATCAAGCTTTCGAATGTACTACTCCGTTCCAATAACTTACAGAAATTGGAGTGTGAGTGCTTATTTCCTTTTTACCTTTTTTTTTTGTAATAAATAGAAATAATACTCTAACTTCTTTCCATCTGTTCTCCAAGTAATATTTATTACTTAGAGCAAACTCGCTTATGTTAGTGTTACAGAATAATTAATGAGTTGTAAATAGATTACTTTCCATAGATAGGTGACTCAATTATACGAGATGATCCTTAGGATACAACAATAACAATAATAACAATAACAACAACATACCCAGTATTATCCCACATCGTGGAGTCTGAATAGGGTAGTACGCAGACCTTGTGAAAGTAGAGAGGTTGTTTCCAATAGACCCTCGGCTCAGAAAACCATAAGCACCATATTAATTAAAAGATAGACAAGGAGTGACAACACCAAAAAGTCATGTAAAAGCAATATGAATTGATCCTTAGGATATTTTTCTTTATTTTGTTTGATTTAGTTTCCTTTGATAGAATCTTGTGTAAGTGTATAAATCTCTTGCATTCATGAATAGAAAGACAACAAGTTATTCTCTCTGTTTACATGGTATCAGAGACATGTCAAAGTTGGGATTAATACCTCATTGGAGTTGGCGTGCTTGAGTCTCACGCGTCGGCAAAAGTTTTCCAGCAAGTTTTTGTCCGGCAGAGCGTGGAGGCGCATGATACTTCGGTTTTGTGTCTGGTTTTTGTCCCGATGTTGCCTCTTTATTTCAGGTCACGCTGTAGTGGTTCGTTGACCAACAAACCACAGTTGTCCATGTTTGCTCAAAGCAGAAACTGTCCACGTTATCTCAATCGGTCAGATCTGAAACTTTTTCTTTATCATCATATTTGGATGGTTTTGTGTCTGAATCATAATAAGTTTTTGGGACGTTATTGTTCGTCTTGGTTTGCTAGCTTCAATTGATTTTGGCAATTGGCAGTGCTTGAATTTGGTGGCCTCTTTGTGTTCATTTGGTACTATCTAATTTGTCAATGAAGAGTTTCTTTAGCTCATCACTTTGGTTTATTTGGTCTAGCTGTTGCCTGATTTCCTTTCTTGTTGGTCAATTTAGATTATCAGTTTGGTAGAGAAGCTTTCAGTTTTGTCTACTTTAATTTTGATATTGATTTTCTCTAAAAGTTGGTTGAGACTTTAACTTGGCCTCTCTCTGGTTGGCTCTGTTTTGTGCCTGTTGAGGTGTTGATTTTACTGCAAAGCTTTGTCGATTTCTTTGATCGTGAGTTTTAGTTGGAAAAAGAATGGGTATAAAAAGTAAGTAAGGAGGAAATAATGCTACAATTCCTAATCCAACAATCTTAGTTTCGGATAAGTTTTTAAAATTCCTTCAATATCATAAATCAATTAAGGATTCTTCTTTAGTTACTGCTTTTGCTGGGTCAGATAAAATATGTCTTATCACCTCTTCAAATAAATGGGTGGTTGATTCAGGTGCCAAAAATCACATGACAGGTAATCCAAATATTTTTTCTAGCTTTCGGTCACACAAAGCTCCCTCTCCGATTACTGTAGGTGATGGATCAACTTGTAGTAGGGTTGGATCTGAGATTGTTAAACCAACTTATTATTTTACTCTATCATCTGTGTTAAGTCTACCAAATTTGGCCTTTAATTTGATTTCTGTTAGTAAAATTACCAGAGGCCTTAATTGTTGTATCCCGTTCTTTCCCGGTCATTGTTTGTTTCTACATCTTACAACGAAGCAGGTTATTGGTAAAGGATATTTATCTGGTGATATCTATCTACATCCTTGGAGAATGGGAGCCACAGTCTATTGCATGCTCTAGTGTCGTGTCTCCTTTTGATGCACACTATCGATTGGGTCATCCCTCTCTACCTTTGTTGAAGAAACTCTGTCCTCAATTTCAGATTATTTCTTCATTGGACTGTGAGTGTCGATTCGCAAAATACCACCGCAGCTCAATACGTCCAAGGTTAATAAGCGGGTTGAGTCAGCTTTTGAGTTAGTTCATTCTGATATTTGGAGACCATGCCCTGTTGTTTCCAAACCTGGGCATAAGTATTTTGTTACTTTTGTAGATGATTTTTCCCGAATGACTTGGATTTATTTTATGAAGAGTCGCTTTGAAGTATTTACTTATTTTTGTGCCTTTTGTGCTGAAATCAAAACGTAATTCAACACTTCAGTGTGTATTCTAAGGAGTGATAAAGCTAAAGAACATATGTCAGAATTATTTCAGTCTTACATGAGACAACATGGTATTCACAATCAATATTCATGTGTTGATACACCTTCCTAAAATGGAGTAGCTGAGAGGAAGAATAGGCAGCTACTTGAGATAGCTCGAGCACTTTTGTTCCAAATAAAGGTTCCTAAATAGTTTTGGGGTGATACGATTTCAATAGTTTATTTTCTGATTAATCGCATGCCATCTACTGTGCTCATTGGTGATGTGCCTTATAGTGTTCTTTTTCCAAACAAGTCACTATTTCCGTTGGAACCTAAAGTATTTGGAAACACATGTTATGTTCACGATGTTCGGCCATCTGTTACTAAGTTGGATCCCAAGGCATTAAAGTGTATTTTTTTGGGCTATTCTTGTCTTCAGAAGGGGTATCGGTGTTATTTTACTAAACTTGGCAAATATCTAGTGTCAACTGATGTGGTATTTTCATAGGCTACACCATTCTTTAATGCACCTCTTATTTCTATGAGTCAGGGGGAGATTGATGAGTGGTTAGTCTATCAGGTTACCCGTGCCTTGACAGAACAATCAAATGATGTTGTTCCTCCATCTCCCAGTTATTTTATTAAGCAACAATCGACTATTGTGCCCTCTGAACCTTCTCCATCGACGCTATAAAGACCGCCAATTGTTCAAGATTACTCAAGGAGAAAAGAGATCAATGACACATGTCGTGCACCAGTTTCTTCGTCATCAGATCCTCCGCTATCTGATCCTTCTGAAATTTAATTGTTCTTATTTTGCCAGTTATTCCTAGTGAAATACATCACTCACAACTCGGTGATAGAATGCTCACATTTCTTGAGTCTAGTCTTATTGATATGGTCAATCAGGTGAGTCGATCATAACATATACTCACTCTGACAACGCACTTTTCTTTGTATTCGTTATTCCCTTCAAAAAAGAATGATATATTTTTATATTTAAAAATAATTTCACTTTTGTACTTCTTATTTTATTCTTTATGACATAATTTATAGCTACACGCATGTTTATGGCATATTTTAGATAACAAGTTTCAATAATATTTTTCTCTTTCTTAAACTGCATGCTCAAGTCAAACACTATCACATAAAATGCGAAGGAAGGAGTATATGCTAAATTTCTTGGTTCTTGGCCAATCTAGTACTACTCCTTCCGTGATCATTTTATACTGTGAAACTTTTTTTTTAGTATGTTTCAAAAAGTATACATTGATACCTTTCTATATTGAACTGTGCTTTCTTTCTTTTCCATACAGGGAATTGTAGATGAATCTCTAGTTGACTCATTTAATTTGCCACTATATTTTCCATCTGCTGAAGACATGATTAAAGTGGTGAAAAAAATAATTTTTTTAGCGTAGAGAGAATAGAGCTAACATATCCCCAGTCCAAGATTGATGCAACGAGTTTCGTAACTCACTTGAGGGCTGGTTTAGAAGGAATATTCACCAAACATTTTGGAAATAAAATAAGATATGAAATGTTCGTGAGGACTTTAGGAAAATGCGAAGAGATTTCTGCATGGTTGAAAGCTGAATATTACAAGACTGCGAGGCAGTTGTTTGTGATTTTGAAACGTAAAATAAACTTGTAAAGGAATCATCTTTATTTTGTCCGTGTGACATCAATGATGATTACCAAGTTTAGAAATTACTTTGAATCACTAGGTGGTTTGCCTTTCTAGTATAGATGTAAAATTTCAAAGCATATACGTGTTAAAGTTTGCCTTGATTTTCTTTTCATATTTGGATTTACCTATACTTGAAGGAAGGATAAGATATTTATCATAATTGCTTTACTTTTTATAAAAGAGAAATGTAGATCTCTTTCATATTTGATAGATCTCTTTCTTGAACAAAAAGATTGTGGACCTTTATAAATTAAGGATCCCTTCTTCACACAACAATACAATACAATAGCATCACAATGTAATCCTTTAGAGTTGAAGAGTCATGTTTAGAGGGAGAATTATTCTCTCAATATTTTTGTAGTCTCTTTTATATAATAGAAAGTTCTTCTCCTCCCATATGAATATAGGTCAATTGACCAAACCACATTATAATATTATCTTTTGATATAATTCTCTTTGTTGTCTGATCTATCTCGTTAAAGGTATATTTTGTTATTTTCCGCATGATGCCTTGTTATTTTGATCCCAACAAGTGATATCATAGCCGATGGTTCAGTACGGTTGAAGATAGCTTTAAGGCGGGTTCAAACCAAGTTGTAGCAGTGATGAAAATTATGTGAAGAAGGTAGATCAAGCTTTGTCAAGAAAATTTAGGCCAAATTAGGCAAAATTGTTAGGGTTTGCCCTGATTTTCTTTTTATGTTGGATTTACCTATTACTTGAAAGAAGGTAAAATATTTATCATAATCGTTTTTAATTTTCCTGAAAGGAACATTTATTCTCTTTCATATTTGATAAATTCTTTTTGGACCAAAATATTGTGTTCCTCTGTAATTTGAGAATCCCTCCTTTACATAACTATACAATTGTCACAACCCAAAACTCAACATATCGTGATGGCGCCTATCACAGAACTAGGCAAGCCGACATTCACAATAAAACTTGACATTTTCTATTAAAAATAAGATTAAGCAAGTTTAACAGTAATAACCCTCATAAATAGCTGATATAAACAACTGCGACTCGAATATAATTTTTCCAAAATCCGAGTGTCACTGAGTACATAAGCATCTATACAATAATATAGTCTGAAACACCGTCTAGAAGGGTAGAATAGCATAAGTAAAACCAAGAGATAAAGGAGGAGCGTCAAGGTCTGTGGACGCCAAAACAGCTACCTAGATGATCTCCGAACGAGCAAAAACTCCAAGATCAGCAACCACCGTGCCCGAAAATACATGGATCTGCACACGAAGTGCAGGGTGTAGCGTGAGTAAAACCAACTCAATAAGTAACAAGTCTAATATTTGGGCTGAAAGAAGTGACGAACCCAACCAATATAACACGAATACAGAGTTTAACAGTACAGAAAATGTAGACATGTTTCCAGGTTAAACAGTTAAGTTCAACACAGATAAAATATGCCAAGTGTAACTGATATGAGGAATATGACATCTCTATATCTATATGAGAATATGACTAGCGTATGTGATGCAACACAATGAAAATCTCACGTACTCACACTCTCAGCGCACTCAATCTGATTGTCTCAATTCTCGCTCGTCACACTCAGTCACTCGGCACTGTACGGTGTCTGTTGCGACGTGCAGCTCGATCCACATATAGCCATAAGGTATATTATGGCACGCAAACCGATCCATATATATCCATAAGGCTTGTTGCATCGTGCAACCCGATCCACATATAGCCATAAGGCTTGTTGTATAAGGCTTGTTGCGGCACGCAATCTGATCCACATAACTCACTCACAGCACGTCTCTCAGGCTCCAACTCAGTCATCAATCTCTCTAGTCTCTCGGGCTCACCATGCTCATGCTAAGCATCCCAAATCAATGATACATGATATGACAATAAATGATACAGAGACTGAGATATGATATGTAATGATGAATGCGACTGAGTACGTAACTGCAAATTAAGCAAATAATCTCAACAGCAAAAGAACGACCATTGTGGGTCCCAATAGTACCAGCTCATAACCTAAACATGATTTCTAACAAAATTCACATCTCATGTGCTCTAACACATAGAGTGCATTAATAATATTTAGATTAGGTGACTACACAGTCCCACGAAATCGACTAAGTCATAATTACTACGGTGCACGCCCACACGCCTGTCACCCAGCATGTGCGTCACCTCAACACTGATCACATAACATGAAATTCAGGGATTCATACCCTCAGAACCAAGTTTAGAAGTGTTACTTACCTCAAATCGTGCAAATCTCTACTCCAATAAGCCTCTGCCTCATGAATCGGCCTCTGAACGCCTCGAATCTAGCCATAAACAGTTCGATACAATCAACACGAGACTACGAATACCCATTCAACCACGAGTCCAACCATACCAAAATTACTCAAATATGATCACAACTCGACCTTCAAATCCTTATCAAGGTTTTTAACAAGGTGGCGACCACAGGTATAGCTCAAAAACAGCAGTCAACCGGGAGATATGTATATGATTACAAGGGGATTCTGAATGCCACATCAACCAGGAATGAAAATCTGGCAAGGCAACTCTGAATGCCACGTCAACCGGGAACGAAAATCTGGCAAGGCAACTCTGAATGCCACGTCAACCGGGAAATAAAAAATCCGGCAAGGCAACACTGAATGTCATGCATCATCAGGATCGGTGACTGCACAGCTAGCCCCGAAGAAACAAGATAGCCACAAGCCATGGCAGCTTCTTTCCTACGTAGCAAAATGCCTATGTAAACTATGAAAACGGAAGGAATGAAATAAAATCCTTTTCCTTTTTGTCTTGTTTCTTGTCTACACGATGAGCTAATTTTGTCATTTGAAAGTTAAACAAGTACTTCAAATGTTAGTGCCGTAATGAACAGGAGACGTCCTCTTCAAGAGTACCGTAAATATAAGAGGTCCCTCTCTTATTAAAACCCTCATGTTAAAGGGTTTGTTCTAGAAGAATATATGCCCAGAATCGAAAATGCTATCGGGGAAAAATACACTCGAAGCCATATATGAAAAAGACGCAAAAACTGAACTTGCGCAAATACTTATTGAAACCCTCATGAAAAAGGGATAATTCTCGGAGACAAAAAGTGCATCAAAGAAAATGCATCAGAGATCATATATAGCAAAATATACACAGATATGCAAGCAAAAGTAAGACTCAATCAAATATTTGAGAAAACATATGTCTTCATTTACAAGAATGTGCCAAAAGAAATACAAAACAAGGAAAGAAAAAGCTAAGCTACAGCATCACCCGAATCAGGAGGAAGAGAAGTATATATGTCCCTAGGAGTGGTGGACGGTTCAACCGATGGTTCAACACCTTCCCCACCTTGGTTATCGGCATCATCGCCTTCTGATTCCTCTTTAGTATCCAAAATTTTGAAACCAGAATCAGAAGAACCTGGAGCATCAGACCGTGCTAGGAACCCATTTTTTACAGTCAACTCAAGCTCACGTGCCTTGGCAATCTCGACATCAATATCAATAACGCCAGTTTTGCGTCTTCCAAGGTTTTTCTCCTCATGATGTATATGGTGTAAGTTTTCTCAACAACGAGGGAAGCCTCTCAACGCTTGAGTTCTACTTTAATCTCGGTGATCTTGGTAGAAAGATTGTCCCGGGCGGACCTAGCAGCTCAAAGAGTGACATCTAGATCGTGGACGTTGAGCTATAGAGCATGTTGTGCTCGATAGTCTTCTTATACATCTCCTCCAACCGGGCATGTCTTTTCCCCGTGACAGCAAGTTCTTCAGCCTTAGAATTTAAGGCTGCTTCTAAATTAGTTATCCTTTCAGCAACAGCAGCCTCACGATCATTAGCAGCAAATATGGCATTTTGGACCTCAGCACATTTAGCCTTAACTTCATCAAAGCCAGCCCTCAGTGGCCGAACTTCCTGGCTGAGGGTCATCACTTCTTGCTTACTTTGATGCAAATGGGTTTCCAAAAGATCGGCCTCAGTGGCCCTGGTTTCCAGCTTTGAGAGGCAAAGAACAGACCGGTCCCGTTCCACCAAAAGTTGATTCCGTTCAGAAGAGAGTTCCTCCTTCTCGCGGATTAACCATTGAAGGCCGTCGAAAGCAATGAAATTGGCTTGTAAGATAAAACAAGGTAAATATTAAAATGCACTCATTCAAAAGCTGAACAAAATAGTAGAGAAAGAAAGGAGCATACCGCTGCAGCATTATGCATGGCATTATACAACAAACACTCTCCCGAAAGTGTCTGAATCTTTTCCCAATTCTTCTCTGAAGCCAAGGGCTTCAGATAATTTGCAAGCTCCACCGGCCGAGAAAGAAGGTTGCACTTGGTAGAGACTGAAAGGATAAGACTCCTCCTCATCTAAGGATCTTCAGAAGGGGCAGCATAATTTTGCCCCAAATTCCTATGAATAGGGGACTGAGGAAGAGGAACGCCTTCAGCACGGTCAGGTGCGGCCGTTGGAGATGATGAAGATGGAAATGATGTAGCAACTGTTGGTGGTGAAGAAGGTGGCGATAAAGCTAGTGAAAAGAAGAACGGGAAGCAACTACACCAAAGGCAGCACTGATAGTTGGGTGCTCGCCGACCGAGGACAACAAGGACCTGGTACTCTGCCTCGCAGTACTGGATACAACGATTGGGGCCCGAGAATGGGAGTTGGCATTTTTCACCAAATCAAACTCTCCCTAAAGTGCCGAGATATCATCCTCGGCGGGTGTGAGTGCTTCAACAGGTTGAGCATCATGTTGAGAGGATAAGGATCGTTGTCTTCTATGTAGAGAAGCTCCATCATCACTGGCTTCTTTATCATCAATCACCACGGTGTCTATGACCGACCCAGAGGGAGGACCGGCCAACGTCGCCACCTAAGATGGTTAGGGGGCGTCAACCTTTGCCCTCTTATTCTTCTCCCCGAACATAGAAGAACGCCTTCTTTTTGGTTGCTTGTTCTCTGGCCGGGGACTCTGTGAAGAAATATTCGTGCCCGAAGTAGATCCGGAGGCACCCGTTCGAGCAAGCGCCTCCTGGAGCAGTCTCGCCGCATCAGCAGGGTCGGCCAAGACATCCTCTTCGGGGATCTCGATTGAGCCCGGGGGTAGACCTAATTTGACATACAAGTTAGA